TGCTAATGAGTTCCTGCTGGGCGTGGCCAACTCAGGAGCCAGCCGGAGCTCCGTTCCTGTGCGTTCCTGCCCAAAAATAGCCCCGGCTATAAGAATAAAACACCTACACAAACTGAGGTAAATAGTAGCACTTATCCAGCAGTTCGGATGCGAGGTTTTACAGGCAGGTTTTTAACATAAATACTGCACTCTGCTGCAGGTTTATAACATAAATACTGCACTCTACTACAGCTTATTTGCACATCAGGCCCAGCAAAGCCCTGCTGGCCTACTCAAGTGCCTTGACAAGGAAACTTAACCAAAATCTGATATTCTACAAATCTTTACTTCACAGTACTGTTAGATCAACCCTCAAAGCCTAACTCCCAGCCTTCAAAACTTAACTTCTTCCTTCAGCCTTAAAACCTAACTTCTTCTGTCTCACTTAATCTCCACTAGCCAGATCTTAACTTTTCCCAGGTCAGCTCTTATTGGCTGATTTACAGCCTTGTGCTGATTGGCTGCTGTGTCTCTGGGTCCATTTCTTTGGTCTGCCTACCACTGTGGTAAGGGTTGCCAGGTCCCTCCTGACAACTGGCAGGGAATGGAGGGGACTTGCCAGTAGAAAGAAGAAGGCCGAGGCCATGTTACTTGCACTGCACAGGAAGTGATGTCATCATGCCACTGACTTCCAGATGATCCCCTGGTATTTGGGCAAAAACTCTATGGTAAAACCAGCTTCTACCATAGAGTTTTTGACCAAATACCAGAGCGCCGCCAGGAAGTCACTGGTGTGATGCTATCATTTCCTGTGTGATGCCAGCAAAGTGGCCTAGGCCTTCTTCCTGCTGGTAACTCCCTCCACTAACCAGCTGATCAGCAGCTTGGGGGCACAGCCTGCCAGCAAGGGACCCACCAGGGGGGGTCTGGCAAGCCTACACTATGGGCATTTCAAAAAATATTTCTGCCAAAAAATGACTGTTAGGCATATGAATTATATTTTAAAAACATGTTGTAAATTCATAGCTGATTATGCCAGGGTTTCTATGTCACAGCCTCTAAAAATACTCATATTCTCTTCTCTTTGCTCTTTTTCCCCCCAAGGAATTGGAAGTGATAGCCTTCAGGATTTCCTCTCTGTCTCAACTGTGGTGCAGTTGGAAGAGGAACTTCAGCACAGAGATCCAGAGCCTACTCAATTTCCTGGGAGTTTACCGGGGACTTCTCAAGGGGGAATTTCCCTGACTTTTGTGACCCCCAAGCATCAGTATAAGCAGCCAGCAGGGAGAAAGAGAAAACAATTGTATTTATCCACTCAATGCCCCCCAACAGGCCGAACACTGAACCCCAGAACTTCCTCCACAAGCAAAAAAAAATACACATGCGCTGATTGCAGGAAAATCTTCAAGTCCAATTCTGAATTTATTAGACATCAACGAATCCATACAGGAGAAAAACCATATGAATGCACAAAGTGTAGGAAGAGATTTATACGGAAGGATCACTTGCTGAAACATGAGAGCATCCACCGAAAAGTGTGTTCGTATAAGTGCCGAGTGTGTCAGAAGGTCTTCCGATGGCTTACACATCTTCAGTCTCATCAAAGAACCCACAGGCAAGAAAGCCGTTTCACGTGCCCCACATGTGGGAAATCTTTTTCTAAGAAAGGTGATCTGAATAGACACCGGAGGATTCACACAGGAGAGAGACCCTATGGATGTCTTGAATGTGGGAAATCTTTCCAACGGAAGGAGCACCTTATGTATCATAAGGGAATCCACAAACAAGAAGATACTTACAGATGCCCCAACTGTGGGAAAAGTTTTCACCGAAAGGGACTGCTTGTGTCACACCAGAGACTTCACACTGCAGAGAAACCCTTTGCATGCTCTGTGTGTGGAAAGGCATTCCGAGAAAGAGCATATTTAAACAAACACCAGAAAATTCACATGGCCGGAAGGTGCTATAAATGCTTGGAATGTGGGAAATGTTTTCTCCGAAAGAAGTCACTTCAGATACATCAGAGAATCCATACCAAGGACAACCTGCACAAGTGCCCTGAATGTGGAAGGGCTTTCTGCACCAAATCAGAACTCAAGAAACAGCAGGGAATCCACACAGGAGTGAAACCCCATGAATGCTTGGACTGTGGGAAACGTTTCCGTCGAAAGGATTATCTAGTAACGCACCAGAGAACTCACACCGTAGAAAAGCCCTATGCATGTCCTGAGTGTGGGAGAGCCTTCTCTGCAAAAGAACAGCTGAAAAAACACCAGAGAATCCACACAGGGGAGAAACCCTTTGCATGCTTAGAGTGTGGGAGATGCTTTCTACGTAAGGAATCATTAGTGAATCATCAAAGAATCCATACTGGAGAGAAACCCTACGAATGCCCTGAGTGTGGCAAATGTTTTTGCAAGAAGGGGCTACTTGTGTCACATCAGAAAATTCACAGTGGAGAAAAACCTTTTCTGTGTCCTATCTGTGGAAAAACCTTTTCTCAAAAACAGGTGTTGATGTCACACCAAGGAATCCACATAGCAGAGAAACCATATCAATGCCTTGAGTGTGGGAGAGAATTCCAACGGAAGGAATATCTCCAGGCTCACCAGAAGATCCACAAGGAAGAGAGATCTTATGGATGCTTGGAGTGTGGGAAATCTTTCCACAAAAAGGGGATACTTGTCTCACACCAGAGAACTCATACAGGAGAGAAACCTTTTGCATGTTCTGAGTGTGGAAGGTGCTTTGGTGAAAGCAAAGTGTTGAAGAGGCACCAGAGAATCCACACAGGAGAAAAACCTTATAAGTGCCTGGAGTGTGGGAAAAGCTTCCTACGAAGTGACGCACTTGTTGAGTATCACAGAATCCACACTGGAGAGGAACCCTATGAGTGTCTAGAGTGTGGGAAAAGATTTCGGGCACGGAGGAAGTTGGTGGCTCACCAGAAGCTCCACAAGGGAGGGACAAGATGTGGAACTCCTGAATTGGAAGATGGTTTTCCAAGTAAATAAACTTCACATATACACCAGAGATTTTACACAGGAGAAAACCCCAGGAGAGTCTCAAGTTAAGAAAAAGGTTCTATAAATAATGCGGGAGGGGCCATTATTCAGTGGTACAGAATCTGCTTGGCATGTAGAAGAGGTCCCAGATTCTGCCTCCAGTTAAAAAGATTGGGTAGTGGGTGATCTGAAAGGCCTAGACCCCTGGAGAGCTGCTGCAAGTCAGAGCGCAAGATACTGTCAGCTAGGCCCTTCTCGGGCCCTGGTTGCCATGGGAGTGGAGTGACTCTGGAATGTTAACTTTCATTTCTGCTGTGTCTTCAATGTTCCTATTATCTCTGCTTGACCTTCAGTGCCTGGTGTAGTATTTCTCCTGGGAACTGAAGCCCATTACTTTGGTGGGCTTCTACCTGGCCCTTGATTCGCCCTGAGTTATGGGGGGGGGGCTCTTTGAATAATGTATAATGGCTTGCTTTGCACACTTTTATTCAGTTCCAACGCAAGGTGTTTAAGATATCTGCATACTTTCATATGTCTCAATAAACTTCTGTGAATGAAAGCTGTTCAGAAGTGATTGCTGCAGGAGTCTGACAGATACCAGCCTTGTCTTGGCTCATTATAAGACACTTCATATATCTGTGTAACAAAACACAGTTTGAGTCCGGTGGCACCATTAAGACCCTGTTGATGGTCCAAGCCAGTCCAGCAGCATCAGTGCCATGCAAATTTATGGCCGTTCTTCCGGGGACCACTCCCAACCCTGTTGTTTCAGTGGTGGTAGTAGTAGAAATGGCGGCCCCTATATAAAAGCCTGGCGGAAGAGCTCTGTGTTGCAGGCCCTGCGGAACTGCATAAGGTCCCGCAGGGCCCTGATCTTCTCTGGGAGCTCGTTCCACCAGGTGGGGGCCGCCATTGAGAAGGATCTGGCCCTGGTCGCAGCAAGCTTTACCTCCCGGGGGCCTGGAATCACCAGGTGATGTTGCGTCCCTGACCAAAGTGCTCTTGGGGGTATGTATGTGGAAAGGCGGTCCCTCAGGTAGGTCGGACCCTGGCCATATAGGGCTTTAAAGGTAAGAACCAGCACTTTGAAGTGAATTCGGTACGCTATTGGCAGCCAGTGCAGCGCTTTCAGCCCAGGCTAGATGTGCTCCCATTTGGGGAGACCCATCAACAGCCTGGCCGCCGCATTCTGCACTAGCTGCAGCTTCCAGATCTGCGACAAAGGCAGCCCCATGTAGAGAGCGTTACAGTAGTCCAGCCTTGAGGTGACCGTCGCATGGATCACTAGCCAGGTCATCGCGGTCGAGGAAGGGAACCAACTGCCAAACCTGCCTAAGATAGTAAAATGCAGATCTGGCAGTGGCTGCCACCTGGGCCTCCATAGTTAAGGAGGGATCCAGGAGCACTCCCAAACTCCTAACCTCCGGCGCCAGCACCAACGGCGCCCCATGTAAGTGAAATTTCGGAAGTTGGGGAGAGCATTGGTTGTGTGTGAGCATTATCAAGTCACTTCCGACTTATGGCAAGCCTACAAATTAACGACCTCCAAAAGGTCCCATCCTTAACTGCCTTGCTCAAGTCTTGCAAACTGAAGTCCATGGCTTTCTGGATTGAGTCAATCCATCTCATGTTGGGTCTTGCTGTTTGTCGACTGGTTAGGGAGACCTATTGGTTAAATGTCTGAGTTCACATTATGGAGATGACGAGTGACTACTGCTATGGCTTACCAAGAAATTAAGCAAACTCCAGAGCACGACGGAAGACAGGAGGGCCTGGCGTGATGTGGTCCATGGGGTCGTGAAAAGTCGGACTCGACTGTGTTGCTGAACAATAACAAACATGGCTTACCTTGGTCTCAATAATAGTTGTCCCATATCATTAATATGCATGCCACTTTACAGATAACAGATAGAGAGGTCCCTGCCCCAGGGAAGCTTCCAGTCCAAAAGGAGGGGACGGAAGGGGGAATAAATAGGGATCCTGTTCTGATGGCAGATGGCAACTGGTATTCTCTAATATTTAACAGGGAGCCCTTGGCCATCCTCCCCCCCCCCTTGTGGTCCCAAATTCCACAAGTCCAACTGTATGTATGCAGCCCTGATAGCCCTTTCCCCACCCCCAACGCAACAGTGGCCACAGGATTGCCAGTTGAGCTATTCAAAGTCTTAGAAGATGATGCTGTTAAAGTTCTGCACTCCATTTGCCAGCAAATTTGGAAAACGCAACAGTGGCCACAGGATTGGAAAAGGTCAGTATACATTCCAATCCCAAAGAAGGGCAATGCCAAGGAATGTTCAAACTATCGCACAATTGCACTCATATCACACGCTAGCAAGGTCATGCTCAAGATCCTACAAGCTAGGCTTCAACAGTACGTGGATAGAGAACTGCCAGAAGAAGTACAAGCTGGGTTTCGAAGAGATAGAGGAACTAGAGATCAAATTGACCAGCAATAATTGCTTATTTTATATCTGTATCCATAAGCACACCTTTTGGAGTTTAACCAATATATCATTATTGGGGGGGGCCTGCTTTCACCCATCTTATATACTCAAACCACCTCTTCTTTTCTTTTTTTTTTTAAACATTGTCGGGTTATAACAACATGTCCAATATTATAACATTCCCTCATTTCTATTATAGCCCTTTCACCTCCCTCCCTCCCTCCCCCAGGCTTCCCACAGTGATCCCACCCCTACCTAGTTTCTTTTCTTGTCTAATCCTTCCTCCTAAAACACAGTTTAATAGATAACTATTTTTTAACTACCTTTTTCATATATTCTGTCTCATAGGTAACATTTCTTTAACTACCATCGTCTTCTGTTCAACTCTTTACACATTCTATTCTTAATAACTATTAAAGCACAATAAGTTGTTCTTAACATCCCATCAAACCACCTCTTCTTGATGTCCACTAGGTGACTTTAGGCTAATTGCATGTCCCTCTCTCAGTTCAACCCACCCCATGGTGTTGTTAGAGTAAAATTAGGGAACCAGTATAATGCATGCTACCTCTGAGCTCTTTAGAAGAAGAGTGGGATAAAAATAGATTATTATGATGGTAATTGAGCCTCTTAAATTCTGTGGGTCAAGTTTTTTGTAGGAGTTTTATTTAGTATTGTACTTTGTTCACTGCTTAGCATGCACAAGCATCGAACTGGGGCTTCTGGTACTACCTCAGTCTAACAAGGGAGACCTACATGGAAACAAAGATATTGATGCTGAAGATCTGTGTTGTGAACTGCAAGCGGTAGCTCAAAGACTATGCCACCACAAAGAGTACTTCTCTTCATACTTCAACAAAAACTCCAGGATAGTGTGCCTAATGTTTCTGTTGCTCTAAGGATCCTTCTCACACTTCCAGTATCAGTGGCAGGTGGTGAACGCAGCTTCTCAAAACTCAAACTTATAAAAACATAGCCTCGACAATGCTGCAAAAAGAGACTACTTGGTTTGGCAACTATTTCAATTGAACATGCTGAAGCATCAGCGCTTGACCTGAAGAAACTGGTGACAAAGTTGGTTAAAGAAAAGACACATAAAATGAGATTCTGATGTGCCTGAAATGGAAACATTAAAGGGACTTGAAATTTCAACATCGCAATTAACAGGATTTTTCAAAATGCTTTGTGATTTGTGTTTTTTCTGTTCGAGAGAGAAATCCAGAGACTGTATTACTTGTTCTCACAATCAAAAAAGAAAGAAATTAGCAATTTCAAATTTTGTGGCTTTCATTCTATAGGATTGTATTCCACAGAGGTCCCTGTCCTCCCCAAGCTTCACCCCCAAATCTCCAGGAGTTTCTCAAGCTGTATCTGGCAACCCTATCAGTTTGCCTGGAGGAAATGGGCAAACTTTATGGTATACCATAGATTCTAGGTGAAATCTCTCCCCAGATTCCCTCCTGCACCAGGCTAGGATTTTATTGGGGGGGGCTTTCAAATTTTTAAGGGGGCTTCCAAAGGGAAGGAGATGGCCAACATGTACCCAGTGGGCATGAGAAATGTCTTTAAAAGGAGGTTTCAAGGGAAATCTTGTGAGGCTGTCCCTTTAAGAAAGGGGGTGGAGCCCCGAATAGCCCCACGGTAGCTATGGGCCTGTCCTCCACAGGCACCTCCCTCGGAAGAATTTCATTGGCAACCTTATGCCTGGGGAAGATGGGGGGGGGGGAGAGAGAGAAATCTGCTAGGTGGAAGCACTGTTGTACAATGTGGCCCCAACTTCACAAGCCTGCCTCCATGTGGAAAATACCACCGCCTACTCTGAGTAGCAGCCACTCTTCGGGGTCTTCAGTGGAGGTCTAGCACATCTCTTAATGCCCTTCCAACTGGAGATGCTGCTGCTGGGCCCTTCTGCATGCCAACCAGTTGCTCCACCCCTGAGCCAGCCAGGGGGCTCCTTCCCTGCCCCTGCAAGGCAGCCGTAGACGGAGAAATCCGGAGGGGGGGGGGGGGCTCCCCTCCTTCCTGACAATCACGGACGGGAGCCGCGCGAGAGCCCAAATCTAAAGGGTTAAAGAGAGAGAGTTTGGATTCCTAGAAAGGGCCGGAAGTGTGAGATTGAGAAGGGCGGGTTGCAAACGGTGAGGGCCCTTTCTTTTCTGTTTTTCGGGTTTCTCAGTCTGGTTTGTAGGATCGCTGTTGGGTGTGGCCTATTATGCTAATGAGTTCCTGCTGGGCTTTTTCTACAAAAAAAACCCTTGTGGAGGTCTATCACATCCCTTAATGCCCTCACCCTACCAACTGGAGATGCTGCTGCTGGGCCCTTCTGCATGCCAATTGCCAACCAGTTGCTCCACCCCTGAGCCAGCCAGGGGGCGCCTTCCCTTCCCCTGCAAGGCAGCCCTTCTCATCCTAGATGAATAAATCCGTAAACAAGCGCTCCCCTCCTCCCTCCACGCCTTCCTGACGATCACGGACTGGAGCCGTGCGACGGGCTGCGTCTAAAGGGTTAAAGAGAGAGAGTTTTGGTGCCTAGACTGGACAGGAAGTGGGGAATTGAGAAGGGCGGGTTGCAAACGGTGAGGGCCTTTCCTTTTCCGGTTTTTGAATGCCTCAGTCTGCTTTGCAGAAAAGTTACAGAGCTGTGCAGCAGCCGAATCCCCAGAGTTGCAACCACAGAGCTGCAAGGAACAGGAGGGGTGAGTTAAAGCGGTGGGAGTGGGAAAGGCAGCACCCAAAAATGTGGAAGTTCAAGAGGTTGCTGGGCGCAAACCAAGAAGTTTTTTTGTGTGTGTTTTTTAAATCTACTTTCCTTCTTTTATCAAATAGCCTTCAGGACAGTTTGTACCAATGCAGCCACACTTCAAAATGGAAAGCGCAGGATCAGTCTGATAATTCGTTGAAAAAAAAGAATCGGAGATGGATTGCTCCAACTCAGCCCCCAAAATCCGCTCAAAGAGGAGACAGCCAAAACTGAGTCAGGAATAGATCAAGATGGGTACCCGTGGTAGTCTGTCTGCAGCCAAGGGCATAGACTTTGCAATTTCCCAAGGGGTGGGGGGTGTTGGAAAAG